ATGAAACAATCGTCTCCTTTTATTCTCTTTGGTGCACAGATGCTGGGGAAACATGAACTAGCTGCAGTGTAACTGCAGAACACAGACCCAGTTCTAGCAGGCCAGGTCAGCATTGGGAACTGTCAGACAGGCCTGCTTTGGGCTTTGCTTATAGTATTTTTGTTTGTAGTCTCGCATGTGAAAAAGTATTAGGTGAAATGCCAGCTTCATGGTTCAGGTGAAAGTCTCATTATTCCCCTTGTGGCTCGTCCTTCACATCATTTTCTTTTTCTTTTTGAGACTGAGTTTCGCTCTTGTTGCCCAGGCTGGAGTGCAATGGCGTGATCTCGGCTCACCACAACCTCCGCCTCCCAGGCTCAAGCAATTCTGCTGCCTCAGCCTCCTGAGTAGTTGGGACTACAGGCACGTGCCACCACGCACAGCTAGTTTTTGTATTTTTAGTAGAGACAGGGTTTCACCATGTTGACCAGGATGGTCTCGATCTCTTGACCTCGGGATCCGCCCGCCTCAGCCTCCCAAAGTGCTGGTTTACAGGTGTGAGCCACTGCGCCTGGCCTCCTTCACATCCTTTTTGCCCTTAAAGGAGTTGCTGCTTCCCTGCTTAGTGCCGCCTGATCCCTCAGAGCTTCCCTGTGCTTTTTTGAATGGGGACTGGCAGGGTCTCCTAGCCTTACAAGGGAGCCACCATGCAATGCCCATCTGAGAGGCCCAGGCCGTTATTCCTCGTGCTCTGTGCTAGTGTTTTTTGTATAAGGGACAGACAGAGCTGATTTTTCTTTTTTCCCTTTGTCTGGATTTAGCAGAGTCAATGTAACTAACTTATATTTTCTCTTTATGAAACGTAGAAGTTATTTTTATGTAGTTTCCAGCCTTTATACAAAATTTTTGTAAAAGGTTTTCTAGAAAGTGAACTACAAGAATACAAGAATGTAAATATGCCTCTAATAAAATAACAAGGTTATCTGCCATTCGGGTTGTTCTTTTGGATGGGGGTGAAAAGCAGGGCACATTTATCCATATTCACCCGGCAAGAAAGGGCTTATCTTCCAAGTACACAGGTGCCTCCCGGGTCATACAGCAGCTCAGACTTCGGGTTTCTGTTTGGAAAGACATTACGCTTGGCTGAGAGAATGTGTCGAGGGCCATGTTCTCTACAGGCATTTAATATCATTTTCATTTAACAACAAGCATTCACTGGCCCCCAGAAGTTTTCACCTTTTATTTTATTTTATTTATTTATTTTTTTTGAGACGGAGTTTCGCTCGTTACCCAGGCTGGAGTGCAATGGCGTGATCTCGGCTCACTGCAACCTCCGCCTCCTGGGTTCAAGCAATTCCCCTGCCTTAGCCTCCTGAGTAGCTGGGATTACAGGCATGCGCCACCATGCCCAGCTGATTTTTTGTATTTTTAGTAGAGACGGGGTTTCACCATGTTGACCAGGATGGTCTCGATCTCTTGACCTCATGATCCACCCGCCTCGGCCTCCCAAAGTGCTGGGATTACAGGTGTGAGCCACCGCGCCCGGCAAGTTTTCACCTTTTAATGTACTGAATCTTTTCGACAATCGGGAAGACATCATCACCCCTATTTTATGGATTTATGTATTTTTATTTATTTATTTTTTTTGTAGAGACAGGGTCTCCCTGTCGCCTAGGGTAGAGTGCAGTGGTATGATCATGGTTCCCTGTAACTTCACACTCTTGGCCTCAGACGATCCTCCCACCTTAGCTGCCTGAGTAGGTAGGATTACAGGCATGAGCCACGGTGCCTGACTAACTTTTTTTGTGGAGATAGGTGACAGGGCAGGGGGGATCACTATGTTGCCCAGGCTGGTCCAAACTCCCGGCCTCAAGCAGTCCTCCTGCCTCAGCCTCCCAAACAGCTGGAATTACAGGTGTGAGCCACCACATCAGGCTCATTCTCATGTTATAGATGAGGAAATGGGCACTAGGCCAGGGGAAGGGTCAAGCCAAATCTCAAATCACTGGTTAGTGATGACTATGGGAGTCAAACTTAGACCTTCTGCAAAAGGTGTTTCTGGCATACCTCCTGTGTCTCACCCAGCTGCCACTTGAACTAATCAAGGGTCACACAGGCACCTAGACACTAGCCATCTCTGCCGTATTTAAAAGAATCTGTCCGTTATGCCTCTGAAACAATATTCAGGCTTTCTTAACTTTGGGTCCACAGACTCTCCCCACAAAGGATCCATACATAGAATTCAGGGTGTCTTGGAACTTGGATGGCAAAAGAGTTGGTCTTTCATTTATTATTATTTTCTTTAATTTTTTTTTAATTTTTTCTTTTTTTCTTTAAAGATGGGGTTTCACCACACTGGTCAGGCTGGTCTTGAACTCCCAACTTCAGGTGATCCGTCCGCCTTGGCCTCCAAAGTGCTTGGATTATAGGCATGAGCCACCACACTCAGCCAGTCTTAGTTTTACTATCCTTTAACTGAAGCTAAGCATTTCCTTTCATCATGGATGTAGCCAACAAACTCTAGCAGTATTAACGGTAGTTGTGACTATCACCAATAGAAATCACAGATATTTCATATCACATTGCAGCTGTTGTATGGATCTCAAAATATATTTATCACTTGGAAATTACAGTAGCTATTAAACCTATGGCTAGATCTTGTTATTTAATGTGCATATGTGTATATACATCCATATATCACATTACATGGGCATATATATCACATACATAATATCTACAGGTTTTTCAGTATTTTGTTACCTGTATTCCATATGATTGGTTTCATTTGTAATCTATGTGCTTTACATTGCACACTTGAAAATATTATTCTGGGGCCGGGCGCGGTGGCTCACGCCTGTAATCCCAGCACTTTGGGAGGCCGAGGCGGGTGGATCGTGAGGTCAAGAGATCGAGACCATCCTGGTCAACATGGTGAAACCCCGTCTCTACTAAAAATACAAAAAATTAGCTGGGCATGGTGGCACGTGCCTGTAATCCCTGCTACTCAGGAGGCTGAGGCAGGAGAATTGCCTGAACCCAGGAGGCGGAGGTTGCGGTGAGCCGAGATCGCGCCATTGCACTCCAGCCTGGGTAACAAGAGCGAAACTCCGTCTCAAAAAAAAATAAATAAATAAATAAAAGAAAATATTATTCTGAGAAGCCACCAGGCAGTGGCTCACGCCTGTAATCCCAGCACTTTGGGAGGCTGAGGCCGGCAGATTACTTGGGGTCAGGAGTTCGAGACCAGCCTGGCTGACATGGTGAAACCCTGTCTCTACTAAAAATACAAAAATTAGCCTGGCTTGGTGGCACACCTGTAATCCTAGCTACTCAGGAGGGCGAGACACGAGAATTGCTTGAACCCAGGAGGCGGAGGTTGCAGTGAGCCGAGATCACACCACTGCACTCCAGCCTGGGCAACAGAGCGAGACTCTGTCTCAAAAAATATATATTATTCTGAGAAGGGATTCATATTCTTTGTGGAATGCCAATGGAGTCTATGACACAAAAAAATGATTTAGAACCCCTGTTTCTCCAGCTTTGAATTGTCTCTGTCCCAGAAACCTTCTGACTAGCAGGGGGCAGGCCGCAGCCATGAGGTCAGTGCAGACTTCACGTTGATTACTGTCTGGGAGATGCAAACAAACAAGCAGCTGGCCTACCTGCCATTAAGGGCTAGAAAAATGACTGGGTTCTCGTGAAAAATAATTCATGAAAGTGACAAACCAACAGTGCGCTAGGGGATTCATAGGACTTGGGAAATGAGATCATTCCACATTCACTGACACCTCTTAAGTACCATGTGCTAGAGATGCCAAGATGAGTAAGACATTGACACTGTCTCCTTGTCTGCATGGGGAAACAGACCTGGAAAAGCAGAGTTTAAGTTCAGACTGACGTTGCCTGGGAGAATCAGGGAAGACTTCCCAGAGAAGGTGATGCTAAATCTTGGAAGACAAAATAGTATGTGCCAGAAGAGGTACATTCAGAGATAGGGATATCGTTTAGGATAAATGCTTTACGGGTCATGAGGCTGAAGAGATGAGCAGGTCCAGACCAACATGCTAGGCTAAAACACCTTTATCTATCCCAAGGGCAGTCAGAGGAATGGGAGTTCACTCAGGGAAAGGACAGTTGAAATTGTTGTATTGGACCGAGCGTAAAAAGTTACCACAAGACAAAAGTATGCCAGATTGCAGGGTCATTTATTATGCCAGCGACCACAGAGGACTCACGTCTCTCCAACCTGTGGTGGCAAAAGGAGGGTGCCACGATTTTTTATACGCGAAAAACCACCTTGGGAGTGGGGGTGAGGGGCGGGGATGGGGATGATAAGGTTTCGGACATTTCAAGGGCCAGGGGATTCTGTGATTCACCTCCTGGGTGGAGACAAGGGCGGGGGTCTCCGGACATTCCAAGGGCTAGGGGATTCTGTGATTCACCTCAGTGGTTTACAGAAGTCAAGATATACATTTGTTTACACATCACAGATTTTAGCAGTTACTGATAAGAAAAGGTAAGCAGCTTTACATAGTTTTGCAGAACAAACTAGCAGTTCTATTTACAGAGGCCAAGGACAGTAGTTATTGTGAGGAGAATGGGGCAGCCATTTCAACTTATCTAAAAACAGTTTTGCATTTTATAAAATAGTTTTGCTCCGGTTCTGGCTCTAGGCCAGCACAATATCACAAAATCATGGCCTTGGCAATTCAAGAGACTGGCTGAAAAGGACTGAGAGATTATGTTGAAAGAGTTTATTTATTTTGAGACAGAGTTTCCCTCAAGAGACTGCCCGAAAAGAACTGAGATTATGTTGAAATATTTTATTTATTTATTTATGAGGCGGAGTTTCCCTCTTGTTGCCCAGTCTCAAGTGCCATGGTGTGATATTGGCTCACCACATAAGCGATTCTCTGCCTTAGCCTCCGGAGTAGCTGGGATTACAGATATGCTCCACCACACCTGGCTAATTTTGTATTTTTAGTAGAGACAGGGTTTCTCCATGTTGGTTGGCCTGGTCTTGAACTCCTGACCTCAGATGAGCCACCCACCTTGGCTTCCCAAAGCGCACCATGCCCAGTGAAAGTTTTTTGGCCCAGAGTTTTGTGGCTTTCAGAATGAAAGGGAAGACTGCAGTTTCCATGAGGGCAAGAAGTAGAACTTTTTAGCTGACCCCTTGCTGTGGTGTAAATGTCCCCTCCGAAACACATTGAAATTTAATTGCCACTGTAAGGATATTGAGAGGTGGAATCTTTAAGAGGTGATTAGGACAAGAGCCCTCATAAATGGACTAATGCCATTATTGCTGAAGTGGGTTATTTATCATGGGAATGGATTCCTGATAAAAAGGTGGGTTGGCTGGGTGTGGTAGTTCACGCCTGTAATCCCAGCACTTTGGGAGGCCAAGGTGGGCGGATCACCTGAAGTCAGGAATTCAAGATCAGCCTGGCCAACATGGTGAAATCCTGTGTCTACTAAAAATACAAAAATTCAGCTGCTTCAAGATGAAGCTGAACATCTCCTTCCCAGCCACTGGCTGCCAGAAACTCATCAAAGTGGACGATGAACGCAAACTTTGTACTTTTTATGAGAAGCGTATGGCCACGGAAGTTGCTGCTGACGCTCTGGGTGAAGAATGGAAGGGTTATGTGGTTTGAATCAGTGGTGGGAACGACAAACAAGGTTTCCCCATGAAGCAGGGCGTCTGAACCATGGCTGTGTCCGCCTGCTACTGAGTAAGGGGCATTCCTGTTACAGACCAAGGAGAACTGGAGAAAGAAAGAGAAAATCAGTTCATGGTTGCATTGTGATGCTAATCTGAGTGTTCTCAACTTGACTATTGTAAACAAAGGAGAGAAGGATATTCCTGGACTGACACCAAGGTGCCTCGTGGCCTGGGGCCCAAAAGAGCTAGCAGAATCCGCAAACTTTTCAATCTCTCTAAAGACGATGTGTCTGCCGGTATGTTGTAAGAAAGCCCTTAAACAAAGAAGGTAAGAAACCTAGGACCAAAGCACCCAAGATTCAGCGTCTTGTTACTCCATGTCTCCTGCAACACAAACGGCAGCGTATTGCTCTGAAGAAGCAGCGTACTAAGAGCAATAAGGAAGAGGCTGCAGAATATGCTAAACTTTTGGCCAAGAGAATGAAGGAGGCTAAAGAGAAGCACCAGGAAAAAATTGCGAAGAGACGCAGACTTTGATCTCTGCGAGCTTCTACTTCTAAGTCTGAATCCAGTCAGAAATAAGATTTTTTGAGTAACAAATAAATAAGATCAAACTTAAAAAAAAAAATACAAAAATTAGCTGGGTGTGGTGGTGGGCACCTGTAATCCCAGCTACTCTGGAGGCTAAGGCAGGAGAATCGGTTGAACTTGGGAGGCAGAAGTTATAGTGAGCCAAGATCGCACCACTGCACTCCAGCCTGGGTGACAGAGTGAGACTCTGTCTCAAAAAAAAGGATGAGTTTACCCAGTTTCCTCCCTTTGTGTCATATGCTCACTTCTGTCTTCAATTTTGTGCCATGGGATGACCCTTACCAGATATTGGCACTATGCTTTTGGACTTCCCAGCTTCCAGAACTGTGAGCCAAATAAACTTCTGTTTTTTATAAATTTACCTAGTCTATGATATTCTGTTATGGCAGCAGAAAACTAAGGCAGAAAATTGGTACTGAGTAGTGGCCTGTTGTAATATCAAACACTTGTGGAAAATGTAGAAACCACTCTGGAACTAGGTAATGCATAGAGACTGGAAAAATTGGAAGGAACAGGCCAGAAAAAGCCTACACTGCCATCAATGGAGCATTAGGGTGATTCTGGTGAGGGCTCAGGAGGGAAGAGCTGTAGGGAAAGTCTGAATCATCTAAGAGATTACTTAAAGGCTCATGACCAGAATGTTAGTAGAAATATGGGCAGTAAAAGCCATTCTGTTGAGGTCTCAAATCGAAATGAGGAACAAGGTATTAGAAACTGGAGTAGTGTTTGCTTCAGCAGCACATATACTAAAATTGGAAGGATACAGAGAAGATTAGCATGGCACCTGCACAAGGATAACACGCAAATTCATGAAATGTTCCATATTTTTACTGGAAAAAAACACCTTAAACTTCATATGGAACCAAAAGAGAGCCCACATAGCCAAGACAATCCTAAGCAAAAAGAACAAAGCTGGAGGCAACACGCTACCTGACTTCAGACTATACTACAAGGCTGCAGTGATCAAAACAGCATGGTACTGGTACAAAAACAGAGATATAGACCAATGGAACAGAACAGAGGCCCTGGAGGCAACGCCACACATCTGCAATCATCTGATCTTTGACAAACCTGACAAAAACAAGCAATGGGGAAAGGATTCCCTGTTTAGTAAATGGTGTTGGAAAAACTGGCTAGCAGTGTGCAGAAAGCAGAAACTGGACTCCTTCCTGACACCTTACACTAAAATTAACTCCAGATGGATTAAAGACTTAAACATAAGAACTAACACCATCAAAACCCTGGAAGAAAACCTAGACAAAACCATTCAGGACATAGGCATAGGCAAGGGCTTCATGACTAAAACACCAGAAGCATTGACAACAAAAGCCAAAATAGACAAATGGGATCTAATTAAACTCCAGAGCTTCTGTACAGCAAAAAACAATCATTAGAGTGAACTGGCAACCAGCAGAATGGGAAAAAATTTTTTCAATCTACCCATCTGACAAAAGGCTAATATCCAGAATCTACAAAGAACTAAAACAGATTTACAAGGAAAAAACAAACCCATCCCAAAGTGGGCAAAGGATATGAACACACTTTTCAAAAGAAGACATATATGAGGCCAACAAACATGAAAAAATGCTCATCATTACTGATTATTAGAAAAATGCAAATCAAAATCACATTGAGATACCGTGTCACACCAGTTAGAATGGTGATCATTAAAAATTCTGGAGACAACAGATGCTGGAGAGGATGTGGAGAAATAGGAACACTTTTACACTGTTGGTGGGAGTGTAAATTAGTTCAACCATTGTGGAAGACAGTGTGGTGTTTCCTCAAGGATCTAGAAATAGAAATTCCATTTGACCCAGCAATCCCATTACTTGGTATATACTGAAAGGATTATAAATCATTCTGTTATAAAGACACATGCACACTTATGTTCATAGTGGCATTGTTTACAATAGCAAAGACCTGGAACCAACCCAAATGCCCAAAATTGATAGACTGGACAAGGAAAATGTGGCACATATACACCATGGAATACTATGCAGTCATAAAAAATGATGAGTTTGTATCCTTTGTAGGAACATGGATGAATCTGGAAACCATAATTCTTAGCAAACTGACACAAGAACAGAAAATCAAACACCACATGTTCTCACTCATAGGTGGGTGTTGAACGATGAGAGCACACGGACACAGGGAGAGGAGCATCACATACTGGAGTCTGTTGGAGGGGGCCACGGGAGGGATAGTGGAGGGGTGGGGAGGTCAGGGAGGGATAACATGCGGAGAAATGTAAGTGATGGGGAATGGAGGCAGCAAACCACATTGCCATGTGTGTACCTATGCAACAATCCTGCATGGTCTGCCCATGTACCCCAGAACCTAAAGTACAATAAAAAATAAAATGAAATAAAATACTAAAAAGAATGAAGAACAACAAAAAAAGGGATGAGCCTACTCAATTTTTTCTCTGCCTTGGATGCCTTCTACCTTTTGCCCTTTCACCATGGGATTACCCTCACCAGAGCTGCTGTCATGCTCTTGGATTTCCCAGCCTCCAGAAACATGAGCCAAACAAATTTCTGGTCTTTATAAATTACCTAGTCTGTAGTAGTCTATTATATCAGCAGAAAACAGACTAAACACCCCTAAACACCCAGAGCTTACTATGTTGCAATGGTAAATATACCCAGTCTCAGCTCCTCATTCTATAAAGGACCTATAAAGGAAGAGTGGAGGCTTAGGGGCTATAGTCTAGATGGAAGTAACCCACTGTGATACCAGGAGTGTTTTATTAATTAGGTCTGATTTGAAAGTATGTCTTTGCCGGGCGTGGTGGCTCACGCCTGTAATCCCAGCACTTTGGGAGGCCGAGGCAAGAGATCGAGACCATCCTGGTCAACACGGTGAAACCCCGTCTCTACTAAAAATACAAAACATTAGCTGGGCATGGTGGCGCATGCCTGTAATCCCAGCTACTCAGGAGGCTGAGGCAGGAGAATTGCCTGAACCCAGGAGGCGGAGGTTGTGGTGAGCCGAGATCGCGCCATTGCACCCCCGCCTGGGTAAAAAAAGGGAAAACCCCCCCCCAAAAAAAAAAAAAAAAAAAAAAAGAAAGTATGTCTTTAATGCTGGGTGCAGGGGCTCGAGCCTGTAATCCTAGCACTTTAGGAGGCTGTGGTGGGCTGATCACCTGAGGTCAGACGTTTCAGATCAGCCTGGCTGACATGATGAAACTCCATCTCTACTAAAAATGCAAAACTGAGCCAGGTGTGGTGGTGCATGCCTGTAGTCCCAGCTACTAGGGAAGCTGAGGCAGGAAGATTGCTTGAACCTGGGAGGTGGAGGTTGCAGTAAGCTGAGATAGCATCACTGCACTCCAGCCTGGGTGACAGAGTGAGACTCTGTCTCAAGAAATAATAATAATAATAAAATAAAAATAAAATTGCATCTTCAGGTAAAAACAAAACTGAGAAAATTTCCACTTTCATTCACAGCAAATTAGGTGATTCAGATCAGTTCTAGCATTGAGTACAATTAGAAAAGCTAGACAAAGACCAGGCGTGATGGTTTACGTTTGTAGTCCCAGCACTTTAGGAGGCCAAAGTGGGTGGGTCACCTGAGGTCAGGAGTTTGGGACCAGCTTGGCCAACGTGGTGAAACCATCTCTACTAAAAATACAGAAATTAGCCAGGTGTGGTGGTGCACACCTGTAATCCCAGCTACTTGGGAGGCTGAGGCAGGAGGATTGCTCGAACCTGGGAGATGGAGGTTGCAGTGGGCTGAGATCTCGCCACTGCACTCCAGCCTGGGTGACAGAGCAAGACTCCATCTCCAAAATAAAAGAGAAAAGCTAAACAAAAACATTAAATACATCTACTTGAAGGTACATGAAAACTACAACATAGGGATGAGTAAGCCAGGATACAAGCAAGGATGAAAACCTGGAGAGGCAATCTTGAGATTCCACCCTGGGCACATTTGCTGATCCTAGAGAGGGTAACAGAAATGCAGTGCTGAGCTTTTGACAGGCTCCCAAGGCTCCATGGACAAGGACTGAAACCCAGGGCCTGCCAAGGGCATGATAGAAGAGAGCCAGGTGAGCCATTCCCTTTGAGTGTAGACCCCAAAGGGCTATACCCATAAATAGGATTTGACAGTCCTCACAGGGATTGTAGTTCTGCTTCAACTAATAAAAATCTCTGAAACTGGACTGGAGTGATCCAAGATTGCCAGTGTTCACAAGCTCCTGGCAGAAGCAAAGGTGAATCCTTACTGGGGGAGAGAACTTAGGCTTCAATTACTTATGCAAACAATTTTACAAGTAAAATGTCTAGCACACAATTTAAAAATAACTAGGCACACAGAGAAGAAATAACATGAACACACCAGCAGAAACAACAGACATTAGAAATACATCAACAGGGGCTACAGATATGAAGTAGTCTAAGTCCAGCTTTATTTATTTTTTTTTGAGATGGAGTGTTGCTCTGTCACCCAGGCTGGAGTGCAATGGCACGATCTCAGCTTACTGCAACCTCTGCCTCCTGGGTTTAAGCAATTCTCCTGCCTCAGCCTCCTGAGTAGCTGGGATTACAGGTGCATGCCACCATGCCCAGCTAGGTTTTGTATTTTTAGTAGAGACGGGGTTTCACCATGTTAGTCAGGCTGGTCTTGAACTCCTGACCTCATAAGCCACCTGCTTCGGCCTCCCAAAGTGCGGGATTACAGGCATGAGCCACTGCAGCCAGCCTTTTTTAAAAAAGACAAGTTCTCACCCAGTGGCACAAGCTGGAGTGCAGTAGCATGATCATAGCTCACTGCATCCTTGATCTCCTGGGCACAAGCACCCCTCCAGCCTCAGCCTTCCAAATAGCTAGAACTGTAGGCACATGCCACCACAGCCAGCTAATTTTTAATTTTTTTGTAGAGACAGTCTCACTATATTGCCCAGGCATGAGCAACTTCACCTGGCCTAACTCCAACTTTAAAATCACCATTCTTGACTGGGTATGGTGGCTTAGGCCTGTAATCCCAGCACTTTGGGAGGCCAAGGCAGGCAGATCC